GCTCAGTGGACATTCCAACCTCAACATATAGGCAGTTTCCTACTTCAGAAATGTCTGGCCCCTTCCTTTCTTCTAAGTAAGACTTTTCAATATGAGGAACCAGCTCTATTCTGTGCCTGAAAAATAAGCTGGATCCCAGCCAGACAGCATAGAAGGGTGGGGGAATCTATTTATACAGGACTTGATAAGGGTAATTCCAAGTAATGCTTCCACCACAGGCTGCTTCTTCTTTTCTTTTCTTTTCTTTTCTTTTCTTTTCTTTTCCCTCCCCTCCCCTCCCCTCCCCTCCCCTCCATCATCTGCAACCCCACACCTGCCCTTTCAACAGAGCAGCATTTAAGCTTAGCTAGCCCTGAGTCTGCAGGCACTTATAATCAGGAGTTGTGCTTACTTATGAGGAGGCTGGTGTTCACCACACCCTTTCAAATGTCCAGACAGGATGTTCCAGACTATTTCCATTTCTCCTTTAGTTTCTCCCTTCTTAATTTTCTCTCCTATTTGAGTGGAGTTATGCCCTCTTAAGAGATGTAAGGCAAGTCAGTCACTTTCTAGTCAGTTGACATCCCCGTTTCATAGAATCATTGGATTTTCTGAACAATACTCAAATTTAAACTATTTTAGAGGTGTTGATTTCAAGGAGCTAATGAATAAATTGCACTAATTCACTTTTGGAGTGTATGTATTTCAATATACACAACTGATGATCTCCCTACATTTATCTAGGGATTTGGGAGATGGGGGAGGGAGGAGAGAATTCCAAAGAATTTAAAAGCCAAACTCAGGGCCTTCAAGGAGTAAGATATGAAGGTATTTTAAAGGGGTTAATTTTAAAGAATAATGCTCAATATTGCTAATTGTTGGGATCCAGGGCCTCCAGCTGAAAAGTAAAATGTTGGAGTATTTATCTATGGGGTTTCTAGACCGCTTCATGTAAGGAATTGTCTCTAAGAAGATGTAGCTGACAACTACATAATAAAATCATAATATGTAATAGTGCATACTAATGTATAAATTATTATAAAGTATAAATTCTAATATAGCACAAACATATATTAATCACAATTAACCATCCCAATATAATCTTATCATTCATGGTGTCAAAATGTACTGTGCACTAGTTATTATCAAAGGTCTTCCAAAATAATTCAGTCTTGACAATTTTTTGGAAGTCACGAAGAAAGGAAACACTCTTCCCTTTGGAGACAAACTGTTCTTAGGGGGAAGCTCCCACAGAGATTACCAACTTCTGCCAAACTCCTGATATATATTTGGGGCAAGCAGATTCTACTCAGAAAAAGCAGTCTCAACAATTTCAAGTTTCAAGTCATATAGGGCTTCATAGTACCACCCAGCAACTTGAATTGCAGTTGGACACAAGCCAGAAGTCAGTGCAGCTCTCATAGCAGCAATGTAATGTAACAAAAATAGGCCCAACCCGTAGGCACACACATAGCTGCATTCTGCATAGCTGAAGTTTCTAGGTGGTCTTCAAGAGCAGCCCCATATAGCATGAATTATAGTTGTCCAAGCAGCAGGTGACAAGGGTATGAGTGACTATCCTCAATGTATCCCATTCCAGGAAAGGCTGCAATTGGCAATCAGCTGAAGTTGGCCAAAGAGCTGGAATGAATCTATAATGTTTCTATTTCTCTACTTTTAGAACATGTCTGGATTCACACAACATAAAAGGGAGACAGGTTTGGTCCTACACTTCTTGGAATGCAGCTGAAGTTCAGTAGAAATTTTATGCTCTCAGATCAAGGCACAGGGCAGTAGATTATGTCAGGTTTGCTCACTGAGGCTGGCCGCCACACTTGCCCACAGCTAACTCCTTCCCTATGCTTCATGCTGCTCCATCCTTCATACTGTCTTAGGCAAATGCCTCAATTCCTCCTATGGGCACACAAGTTTGGTGGCGGGGGTTGGGTGGGCACATGAGTTATATCAGGTAGCTGGGAGACTGCAACAACTGCAATTGGGAAAATTTATACCAAAGCCGTTAGAAGAGAAATGCAGATATTCTCCCATCCCCATTCTTTATAGTATACAAACCAGTTAATAAAGCATTGATGTTCAATCAAGTTTAGTTCCTTATTTATTTTTACAACTATTTAAACATTCTGTAAATAGAAGTAGGATGGGCTCTACCTTTTTAAGTTTATTGCAAACTAAAGATACTAATTAGAATAAGTTATTAGGATTTAGAGTGCTCTGTTAAGTATAGCAGGTTTAGATACTCCCATTAAGGCTTTCATTATGCTTTCTAACATTAAATCTTTGTTTTCTTTCCCCTTCAGGGGAATTTGTTTTGTTAACAAGAATACGATTGCTGATGTTTTGTTGTACACATATTTCAATAAGGTTTTGTAAATGTTGTGTTAAAGTGTCCTGAATTAATTCCCAGATTTACTGGTATACAGTGGTACCTCGGGATACGAACGCCTCTACTAACGAACTTTTCGGGTTACGACCA